CATCAAGCAGAATCAACATCATAGCTGAAAGACACACCGCGATTCTCAAGCATCAAAGAGGCAACAAACAGTACTCCTTGTACTATGAAAGATGATCGCTGATGGATCTTACCTGATCCCTCTTGTATCCAGCCGACGCCTTCTTACCATATCTATCAAGACCCCATCGTTCCCTGCGAAGCACATTTTCCATTTCAGTTGACCATATCCCTCCTCCATTCCCTTGTGGTAACAGTCGACTTATCGAGAAGCTCCTCAATACTACTTTTCAGTCATGCCCAGCGATACGACACATGCTAACATCCTCCGAGTCTATAGCTATGAGCCGGGCTTGAAAACAACCAAGCAAAAGCGTACCCTGGAATTGCCGCCTACCGTAGAAGATTTATCAGCAATAAACCTGGGCTTCATCCGCGGAATTTTGGCGAAAAATGGGGTCTTCGAAGCGCCCGAGTATGACTTCTTTTCCCCCATGCAATGAGGTGACTTGCCACACTGACAATACACGTACAGCGCAAAAGCTCCTTTTTGTAATGCCTTGGGTGCCGAGATGTCGGACGATATGACCTTTAACATGTACAAGGGTCAATTGGACGAACCAAAGCAAGCGGGAGAAGACACGCAGGTTGAAGGTGTCCAGCCTGACAGGCAAGACGAGGTATGTTGCTTCGACTTCGAGATGACCTTAATAGTTGTTTACTCATGCGTTCCAGGATGCCAGCCTTGTTGGAAACATCCTCAAGGTTTACTACAAGAAGAGGAAGACCACTAGCGTCTTGGATAATGTGGCCACAGACTTCCTCAAGAAAAAGCTGGACTTGAAACTCCAGGTAGTCTCTAGTCTGTTATGACCCCATTTCACCTGATAACGTTGAATAGCAAGCGCCAGCACTGAAAGATGTCAGAGCAGAAATCCTTGCATCTGCATTCAAGGGTAGCGAGTGGAAAGCCACCACAAGCGGTAATCGAGAGTGAGTTCTCATTTTGAGGAGTTGTTTCTCAAAACCAGAATACTCACAGAGCGAAGCATTGCAGCAAATCTGACAGAACGTGACTGGAGCGTGATCACCCGAACCAACTGTCTGCTTAGCGGACACAAACTAGTGACCCGCGAGGCAAAAGTCTCTGATACTGAGACGAAAATCATACCTCAGGGAGTTGCAAGTACCCCATTCAATGGTAATCAAAGCCCCCTTTCAACTCACAAAGGGCACATGCTAACCTCACACCCACAGCCTTCAAATTGAAGCCGCGCATTTTCAGCGACTACGAAGTTGCAGCCCCGCCAACTTCTGGGAACGGGGCCACAACAAGTGCTGAGAGTGGCAATGTATGCTGTCTTTTTCCTTAAAGGGATTCTCTATACTGATGTCGACAGCTTTTATTCCACATCCCGCGGTTCCGAGTGGATGATGCCTCGAGCGTCGACGTCGTGGAGACACGAAAGGCATTGCAATCTTCACTGGCCAGTAGCGCATTTTCCAAAACATCTATAGAAGCATCAGCGTAAGCAGAATCCCCACAGAGTCAGGATTACCCTTTACTGATCATGCCACCAGGGGCGGCGGAGTTTGGGGTGTCTCGGCAGCCGTAAAGGCCGGATTCTCTCTCAGTGAGACGGAGCAAAATATTGAGGCGGAGGCCAAGGATAATCATGAAACTCATGTGTCCTACAACGTGAGTAGCAGTTACATCTATCTGTCTTTGATGATAAGTCTAAGATCAGTGTCAGTTTCCTCGGGTGACCATCTTTTTGGATGCAACGTCCCTCGAGCTCACGCCCGAAGTCAAGGCGGATATCCCCAAAGTCAGGGGCAAACAGTCATTGATAGCTTTTGGAGATAAATACGGTTAGTGGACCAAGTCACCTGTCATGTTGGGATCGAACTAAATTGCGTGTTGGATTCAATTCAGGAGACATCTTCTCTCGAAAAGTTAAAGTTGGTGGCAAACTCACTTCTACTAACAAGGTCGGCTCAAAAACCAAGACAACCGAGACGCAGCGCGAAAATGCACTGAAGGTTTCGGCAGCTGCGTCTGTCTCCGGATATTACGGATCCGGATCCGCTGAGGGAAGTGGTAGTGGTGGGAGTGGTCACCTGGATGGCAACAACAAGCAGGACTTTGATAGCAACATGACCTGGGAAGCAACGGGCGGAGACTCTACCCTGTGTAATAAGTAAGTATATATTATCTCTGACCTATGAGACGATACTAATCATCTCCCAAGTCCTCCGAAGTGGTGTGGCACCGTTGGGAACTTTTACAACTGGCGGGTTGTCGAGGTAAGCTCCTATGCTCCATGCTATTCATACTCTGGTCCACGGCGACTAACACAGCGGGCTGCTCCCAAAGAATGACAACTGTATCCCACTCCCTGAACTGATCAGTACTTTCGAAGGCTTTGAACACGTTAATCAACGGTTCAAGAAAGCGGCTGAATTCAATGATACCAACCAGATTGGGGACCGTGTATACCTATGATGACAGATAGTCGAAAAACAGGAGTTAATCCTCAAGCTACCCCTATGTGTGTGATCTGTTTTTTAGGGGCCCAGAATCCATTATATTCATCATGCGGCTGGAAATCAAGTTCGTGAAGCTCCACTCTTTCACTTGAGCTAAGAACAAGCCTTCTTAGCTCATCTCGTGTTTGCGAATCAGCCGACACTATTATAGTTAGCCCAGTGGTCCTGAATACCAGGAATTACATACCAGTTATGAGTAGTTTTCCAGATACCTTCTGTAACTCTTTTTCCAGTATCCCCTTCAGATCTGGCTTCCCATAATATTCCCTGCCTCGCCGTCCGAGTTGTACTCGCTGCCCATCCTTGTGGCCTTTTTCAGATCTGTTTAATGTCACGGGCTCGGAATAGAAGATAATAACGATCTGAATTCCTATCTAGACTATTGTAGCCATCGACGAGAATATCGAATCTGGAGAGAAAAGAAGAAAGGGAATCTATCTACAGGAAGAAAGGGGTTTTATCTGAATGGTGTCGCCGCGCTAGTGCT